GAAATGTCAAGAGCCTTCAGTTCACTTGGCTTTACAGTTAATTTTGAGAAATCTGTTTTAGAACCATCTACTAGAATAAAATTTCTTGGTTTCCACATTGACTCAGAGAAAATGACACTGGCTTTACCAGATGACAAAGCTCAGGCTATCCAAACTAAATGTAATTTAGTTTTGACTCAGCAACAATGTTCTGTAAGGACAGTGGCTCAGTTGCTAGGTCTATTTGTAAGCACATTCCATGCTGTCATTTTCGGACCACTGCACTACAGACAACTAGATAGGGAAAAAACGGAGGCATAACGGATAATTATGGTGACTTGATACGATGGTGGTATTATCAGAGGATGCTAAGCAGGAAATAAAATGGTGGAAGGACAATGCCATGGGTGCTGAGAAACACATTACAACTTCCTCCGAGCCAGATATGGAAATTAGTACTGATGCTAGTCTATTAGGATGGGGGGCTTGTAATAACAAGAAGTCTATAGGAGGGCGTTGGTCACTCCAGGAGAAGCAGCTCCATATTAATGCCTTGGAAATGAAAGCTGTCTATCTAGCCCTTCAAGCTTTCTCCCTGACTGAGTCATTTCAAGGAAAACATGTCCACATTTTATGTGATAATACTACAGCAGTGGCTTACTTAAAAGCTATGGAAGGTTCAAAATCTAAAGTTTGTAATGATCTTGCAAGGGAAATTTGGTTCTGGTGTATAGAACATAGTGTGTGGTTGACAGTGGCTCATGTGCCGGGACTGACAAATGTTGAAGCTGACAGAGCGTCAAGAAATTTTTCTGAGCGAACTGAGAGGTCTTTGGACAAAACTGTGTTTCAGAAAATCCTTGAACACTTTGGTGTGAATCCAGCCATAGATATGTTTGCTTCACGTTTAAACACGAAGCTTCCACGTTTTGTCAGTTGGCGGCCAGAGCCTGAAGCCGAAGCTGTAGATGCTTTCAGTTTGTCATGGTCAAAAGAGCTCATTTATTGCTTCCCACCTTTTTGTCTCTTGTCTAAGTGCTTGCAGAAAATACAGTCAGATAAAGCAGATGCGCTTGTTATTGCTCCACTACGGTCAACCCAGTCATGGTTTTCGCAATTAATCAAAATGATCTGTTGTAGGCCTGTCAAGTTGCCCAAAGGGAAGACTGTGGTGACGTCACTGGACGGGAAGGTTCACCCGCTAGGAAAGAGACTGAATCTGACAGCTTTCCTACTCTCCGGCAAATATGCGCAGACAGAGGCATTTCTTCGGATGCAACCAGTGTCATCATCAGTTCGTGGCGTTCTGGCACCAGGAAGCTACATATATCCGGAAATGGAGACTCTTTTGTTGTGAAAGGGAAATTGATTTTACTAGACCACATCTAGGACAGGTGTTGGACTTTTTTATGTGTTTATTGAACCAAAAACTTGGTTACAGTTCTATACACACAGCACGATGTGTGTTATCAACATTTATTGATTTGGACGATAGACCTTGTGGATCACACCCTGTAGTGTGTCGGTCTCTGAAGGGTGTTTTCGAGATGTTGCCACCAAAACCACGTTATACAGAGATGTGGAGTGTGACAGATGTTTTGTGTTTTGTTCAGAAGCTTACACCGCTGAAAGATTTATCTTTAAAGGATTTGACTATCAAGTTAGTATTGTTGCTTTCATTAGTGTCTGCCCAGAGAGGTCAGACCTTACACTTGTTAGATATAGACCTTATGACAAGGAGTCAGGATGATACTTTGTTTACATTTCATATTGACAAATTAGTCAAGCAGTCTAGACCAGGTAGATTGCCTAAACCAGTTGAAGTCAGGGCCTATTCTCATGACGAGTCACTTTGCCCACTGAACACTTTGAAGTGTTACCTCAGCAGAACTGAGAGCATCAGAGGATCGGTTACACAACTATTTATAACTTACATTAGGCCTCACAATGCAGTGTCAAGAGACACACTGTCGAGATGGACAAAACTCGGACTTCATAAGTCTGGTGTGGACATTCAGGTATTTAAAGCTCATAGTGTTCGTGCTGCCTCCACCTCTGCAGCGAGGTGTGCATCTGTACCCATTTCAAACATTTTGGAAAAGGCTGACTGGTCATCAGAGAGAACATTTGCCACATTCTATCACAAGCCTATTGTAAGGGACAGAGGTCTGTTTGAATCAGCAGTGTTGGGCAGTGTGATTGAGTAAATATTGCTGGGTTGGAAAAGCTGGCAGGACTTGTCAGTCAATGCAATGTACTTTTAAGTCAGTGTACACAATGCTTATGTGCGACTTATGATGGTTATATTGTCAAGGGTAGCTACCTTCACTGTCATTGTATTTGAGAACAATACATTTAACAATAAAAACTCTTTTGAACATTGCCATTCTTATTTCATATTTGGAATAAAGGTTTCCACTTATGGTGTATTCCCAGCTCATACGAGTGTATATCAGTCTTTAAAATCTTATGGAATCTCGAACATTACGTGATTAGCTGATAGAATCTAAAAGTTAAACGAGACTTACCTGTTAGTTGAAGGTTGACTGTGGTTCTATCAGCTAATCTTAAGTAATGGAGGGATTACATGCCCTCCCGTGGATTCCCACCCTTTTTTCTGGGTATAAGTAATATTACTGATACACACTCGTACTTTAAAGTCTGACTCGCGCATGCGCATTGCAATCTCATGTAATCCCTCCATTACTTAAGATTAGCTGATAGAACCACAGTCAACCTTCAACTTACAGGTAAGTCTCGTTTAACTTTTAGATTAATCCCCGAGTAAAGGCATCTTCTTGGGAATGAGTGGAGAGAGAGACGGAGAGTGCGTCCATGGCTGACAAAATAGTAGACACGAGTGGGAGGGTACGGCGGACTGTGGTATCTAAGTGCGTTAGGTCCCGATCTTCAACCACGTAAGACGAGGTTGAGCGCTTCTGAGACAGAGTAGAAACGTCACTGTCAATCTCTGGGGAGACGACCGTAGTAGACATGCCATGAGTGTCTGTGTCTTCAAGGATGAAGCGGGGGATATGGAGACGATCCCGAAGTCGACGAAGGACGCGAAAGCCGTATCTAGCTTAGAGTTAATGTCCAGTAAGACTGGTCTTGGAGGGAGCGTGATCTTGGACGAACTAGCCGATTGAACTGCGAATCCAGAGAACCTATCCACAGGCGAAGTCTTCCACTGTAACTGCAGTTTATCAGCTATCCAATGCAAGACTGATTCAGGGTCCGCTGGTTCATAACTCCCAACAGGAATGCGTTGACACGGGGTCGTCAAGAACGCCTGACAGGTGTGAACTGTCAGTTGGTTGAGCCTGGATATTGGGATCGCCCGAAGTCTGTTGTTGATCCCTGTGATCCCAACTCGTGGGTAGGATAGGTGGACAAGGGTCGGGAGGAGCCGACCTAGAAGGATTACACTCCGACTATCTGTGCGTCAAACGAGAATGGCTACGAGAATGACTTCTCGTTCTTTATACGACGACGAGCACCGATCCTGTGAACTGTGAGGTGGGTAGGCGTAGCCGGCAGAAGAGCGGTAGTCAGGAAACCGTGACTAAGGGTATCGTGGACGCTGGTAATAAGCGTCATGGTAGATCGGGTAGGTATCCCATCCTCTATGGGCCGCAAAGGTATCCCCCGCCAACAAGGTCCTGTGAGAGTAGCCGCTATGCTGGTAGTCAACGATGGATGACCGGTCTCTATCGTTAGTCAAAGACGATTGGGAGCGGGGTCGATGACGCTCATGGAAACTCAATCAAGAATGTCGATCCTGTGAGCAAGATCTCCGATCCTGCGAGCGCGAACGTCGAACCCATGAGGGAGAATGCCGATCCTGTGAGCGAGAGCGCTGATCTCAGGAGCAGGAACGCCGATCCTTGGAGCGGGAGCGCCGATCCTGTGAACGAGAGCACCGATCGTGGGAGGGGGAATGCCAGTCAGTCGTCTTGGAGGGTGAACGTTGTACCGAAGTGTGACGATCTAAAACGACCCGAGATAAAGTTGTATCGACGACCGTATCTCTAGCCCCCAGGGGGGCTGCAGAGCTAGCCGAATCCAAGAGCGGGAGTGGAGCTATCTGTCGCTGGTATAACGAGAGCTGGACCCGGGTTGATCAGACGGACCGAGCGCACATCGACCTGCATATCTTGCGTTGGAGTTGTAGACAGGTCGCGAGAGGACAAGTTGTCTGTAAGGAAGCTGTCTGAGAAGGTGTCGTCTGTGACAGAAATTACAGGTTCGACAGGATTGTCTTTAAGGCATGTTGAGCTGGTACCAGCTTTGGAATCCCCTGCTTTGGAACAGCTATCGGCAATACGACGACAACGTTGCAGGTAAACTTTAAACGCCGAGTTAGTTAGGGAATTACATTCCGCACATCGGGAACCCAGGGTGCACTGTCCCCGACAGTCGCAATATAATGAGTGGGGGTCTGACGTCGAATAGGTACATCTGCATTCTTTACAAGCAGGACGTTAATTGTCCTTCTTTCCCATATTTTTGTATTTAAGATACTCGAACAAACTGGCGAAGGACAATAATTCTGTGTTTTCAAACACGTCGCCACACGGGGCATGAGAAAGAGAATGAATTGGTAGAGGCGCACACGTGGTCAGTTCAAGCAGGCACAGCGTGCTCGAGAGGCACGTAATTGACCTAGCTTTTGGACATAACCATGGAGATGAAGGGGGGCTTGGGTGGCTATTTTTAGTTTTAGAAGCTGGAAACATGATTCAAGCACATTCCCACATAGGATCAAAGAAAAAGGGAGAAATGCAAAGTGTGAGATAGGATAAGTTTAAAAATTAAAAATTGTCTTTGGCTACATTTCGCAAATGAAGCTACTTTATATGTAAACACACACAACAACACACGAGTGTGCGTGCGTGTGTGTGTATATATCTTTTAATAATTTATACAAACCAGTTGTGCCAATCATTATTGTGACTGAATATAGAATATTGATGGAAGCAGAGAAGTAAGTGTTGGATGTAACAGTAAATTAAACTTACTATTCTGACAGTTCGGACCACTGAATCCAGGAGCGCAGGTGCAATTACTGGCCAGTTCATCCCCGCACGTTCCCGGGTAACACCACGTGCTGTCTTGTCGCCATGAACATGCCTCTAAAGTTGATTAACAGAAAATAATATATTCGACTTGCGTTGAAAAATATTTTTCGGGAGGTGGGGTAGCCTTTCCGTTAAAAATTTTGTTCAATACCCTGAAGGGTCAGGATCAATTGCCCACATGGATACAATGGGTGAAGCCCATTTCCGGAATCCTCCACTGTGATAGTGCTGGAACATTTGAAAAAAAGTGGCCCAAAACCATACTCACTTACTCAAATCAAGTGTTATTACAAGTACAATTACTCCTAACTACAAATATAGCTATTCCAAAGACATGATGTGTAACAAAATAGCAACAACTCAAACTAATTGTTTCAACCCAACTTAATCAGACCAATACTCGGGGGATAACCTTCGCATTGCCACTTATCTTTTTCTAAGCATCCTTACTTGTGCAGTATTTTCTGTCCTTTGAAATGACATAAGCTCTCTGCCCTGGCCCTTCTGTCACAACTCCTTCACATCGTGAGCACACTTGGCAGTCATTACAAGGACACTCCTCTGCTTGACAGTTGGCAATGTGCTGGCATCCTGGATAAACAGAGCACTTGACAAGTCACTTGAAATGGAACTTCGGAAAGATGATATATGGGCACAATAAACGTTACTAAAAGATCGTAACTTTCTGGGACTGAGCAAAGCTCATCACTACTTCAACCATGGCTCCTTTGTCTTTGGCTGGGTATTAACCGACTGAATTGTCAGTTAAACTACAATCGGCAATAAGTGAACTTCTTTTTTCTCTTATCATAGCCCTTGATGATGAAACAATTTCACGATAAGCGTGTGTTGCCAGCAGGATTGGAATCCGCGAAGTGTAAATGTTAGCAACGGTTTAACAAGGGTCAGACCACTGGGATCCGATGTTTAACTGTCCATTTCAATGATAAAACATCGGATCCATGTGATCTATTATATACATATTCCTCAGAAGACAGTACTGAGACTGAACTTATAAAAGGTAAAACACTTTAACTACTTACTTGAATAGAAAATTGATGGTGGACCTATCATTAAAACTACTATAACCGGTCATTGAATTCTGATTCCAGGTGCGTCATATTTCAGTAACATGTATTTGCTTGTCTAAGGATGTAACCGTCAGCACTATCCCTATACTAACCCTTGCACCATCTCCCGTACTAGTCCTACACTAGCCCTACAATACTCCCTGAAGTATCCATGCACTACCCCAACATTACCACACACACACACACCCCCAACACACACACACACATCCTGCCCCTCTTGCACTTTCTCTTGAGTTATGAAATCCCCTACCACTGTGCTCTCATTGCATTACCCCCTGCAACCCCCCCCCCCCCCCCCCCATTCACTATTTGTCGCAGTCAAACAAACATGTTTGTTTACGCATTATTACCAAATTGAATATAGGAACAAACACTGTTATAACTACAGAGATATTAATTGATCAAAAATATACTTTCCATGAAGACACAGGCACAGAACCCATCAGCAAAATTAATGTCGAATGTTACATTTTAATAGAGAGTAGTAGAACTCTACCATTGATAACAAAGGCTATTGATCTGAGCTGATCCATCCCCATGAAAGAGTATTTGCTGACAAAAGCGACAAAACCCTTTCCATAATCATGAGAAATCTCTGTTCAAAAAAGAGTCCATCATGGGAATCCCCCTATATCACATGCATGCGTTTATGGATCCCTATCAATCTATGATGATGCCAGGTGTTTGGAAAAGGTGAGCGTGTCGTGCCCAACCGGTGGCACCCGTCACAAACACATACAAAGACAAGGCAATTTATCACCTGTACAAACACAGGAACGCATAGTACAAGTCAGAATCGGGAATTACATGTTTGACAGTTTTACTAAGGTCTTGAATGTTGTAATCGCGATGAAACAACGTTTGGTCAAGAGTCGTATGACGATGTTTGAAATGCTCGATTATGCATAAGTTGTGGCATGTTGACACCCAAGGCAATCTTGTGGATATTTTATTCTCATCTGAATCTTTGTACATAGATCTAAATATTAAACAAATGGCGTGGTCTCTTTGGTCTCTTTTATTTCTAATTGAGTTGAAGAAAAATCCCTATTTGACAATTATTGAACACTATCATATCATCAATATACCTGAAGTTGAAGTTAAACTTCTTGGTTAAATTCCTGTTTTTGATATTGCTAATCAGCAATACCAACTCATATACAAAAAGAAACATGCCACGAAGGTGGGGGGCTTACTTTTTACCTATCTATCCCAAAACATTACATTGATGGCATCTATGAGGAAGTCCAGCATTTATCATAAAAATGTACATATATACAATACTCAATGTACTTGAAAAATTGCTTTTTCTAGGCGCACTCTTTTCCATGAATACTACACACACAAAAACAGATGTTTGCATATACCTGCCTGTTGGCTGGAGTACTTACGGTAACATTGTTTTTTAGTTGCGATCAGCTTATAAAAGTATCTTGAGTCTGAGGGTAGACATTTAGCACAGGTAGTGCACCACTGACTGCGACAGTACCCAATACTTGAACATTCTGTGACATAATCAGAAAGGGTATTAATGTAAGAAGATAATAGTATCTTAGACATATAATTACACAAAACATTTATGATTTAATACAACTTAAATAAAGTTTGTTTCACAAAAAAATAATATTGTACACTTACCATTTTGGACCGAGACAGTTCTCTTGTTTGTATGGGACCCCCCAATCCAACACCCACAATGGAATACAAGCGTTCTGGAATCTTCATATATTTCAACCTAAAATCCAGGAATAAAACCTGCATGTTCACATATTTGTTGTTTTCCATTATTGTATCATTATTAGGTGTATACATTTACTGAACTTCGAAACCATATACAGTCGACCAACGTTGTGTCGAAGTTGAAGGGACCTACGCAAATACTTCGAGTTATACGAGGTTCGACACAATCGAAAATGATAAATGAATAAGGAATACGCAGGGGCCAAGCTTTTACTTCGAAACAACCAGTCGAAAACAACTGTGTTTGACTGTACGTTTATCTGTCACATGAAGAGGCAAAACAAACTGGAAGAAACACATTGTAAACCTGCACTTAAGCAGACAGAAACATTCCATATCTATAAAGTGTCTCTCTTAAGGGTGATGTTAAAGAACAGGGCATATGTTAGTTATATGTAGACTGGTACAAATTCACTTTCTTTTTCGACAATGTCAGCGAAACATCGTTTACCTGGTATGATTAATAAAAACTATCAATAAAAAAAACTACACTCAGGTTGAACATCGGTTGATTTGCGTTTTATGTGTTCACCAGTGTATCGGTGATATGTTCTAATGTTCTAATTTGTAGCAGAAATGCAGAATTGTTTTAGCCTGAAGTTTTCTACTTTTATTTGACTCATACATTGTGGGATAGCCTAATGATAAAAACATTCGGACATCACACCCCGGACCCGATTTGAAGCATTACATGGGTATCTAGTCACTAATGCTTAGTGATTGCATCTATACATTATACCTTATTCAGATGCCAGCCAGCATAAGAGCCTCCGCTATCTGAGCGAATGCTGTGAAAAGAGAAATTGAACTTTAATCAAAACAACATTCAGGATATGCCCGAGAAACATAAAACACAATTGCTAGCTCAATTAATTCGAGTCTGTTAGTTAATGCTTAACATTTTCTGCTATATATTACATAATTCACCCCAACAGTTGGATTACTAATCGGGTATTTTAATTTGTTGTTTAATATGGAATATCGAATTCTTTGAGTTTGTGTTGACAAACCTGATTTGATACAGTCGTCCTATATCTCCAACATTCATATAAGTCGTATCGACATCATCGCGTTCAAAGCTCCCAGAGAGTTTATTTTCATTGCTACTGGTAGTCCGGCCATACACCCGCAAATACAAACCAGAGTCTGTGCCAGCAAGAAATTTGTCACTTGTATAAACTGTTACTCGGAGTCCTGTAAAACGATTTTGTGAAACTGGATTATGTAGAATAATTGAACATCCATCAATACTCCTCCATCCCCCACGCACACGCACACACTTACTTATATGAACGTTTACGTGGAGTGTTGTAGAACTGGGAGATGTAAAATAGTACAACCCATTCATCCACCCATCACCCCACCCTCGTGCACTTAACCAATACACAGTTACGCACATAAACCATTACTTATATCAACTGATATTACTTTATGATTGCACAGTATAAATGCTCGACATACCTCGATTGAGAGCTGCTCGAACCCTCCTGATGGCCGGTCCAAATACCTGAACCGACTGAGTGCAGGTGAAATATTGACTTTGTGACGAGAGGGTGTTTGTCACTGTCACTCCTTCTGGTCGCCAGGGACAGCCTATGTCTGGATCATGCTAACAGAAAACTAAATTCCGTCACACAGAAAAGGGGAGAGGCATAGTCAAAAGATTTAACTGCAGCACGAGAAAATAATGTTGCTCCACTTGATATAATAATTTGGGTGGTGGGGTAGCCTAGATTTTAAAACGTTCGCTCGTCAAGCCGAAGGCCCGGGTTCGATCCCCCATATGGGTAAAATGTGTGAAGCCTATTTTTGGACTCCCCAGCTGATATTACTGGAATATTGCTAATAGCGGCGTAAAATGATATTCACTCACTGATATAAATATTTGAAATTGCCAGATGGAAGTAACATATAGTACTTTTGCCGATCTTGGTCACCAAACGACCAATATACACAATTTTACTACTATTATGTCTTTTACGCCCAATGGAATCTGTCTCTGTGGATAACCAAGACTGGTTACTCTCTGGCGTTGACGTTTTATGGTATACAGATGACAACAAAGAGACAGATGCCAAAGTCAGGACTACTTATATATCAAACGGTAGACATTAGGTTGGTTACAATTACCTCAAACCAAATTAATTTGATTCTTCCTATGTGTGTTGAAATGTCATCCCCAGTTTTCCCATTCTCCCACAAGGCTGGCCGGTCAGGATAAAGGCACGTCCGAGATACAGTCCCTTTCTCTCCCTCAATGTACATACGCAGCTGTTGGAGTAAAGAGAATTGTCATTAAACAAGTGCAATATGGATACACTAGGTCCGCGTTTCATTAACCCATACCCTTTAAGTCATGTCTTCATTGCCTGATAACCGCCCATACGTCGATTGACTCAACATTTATACACGAACAGACAACACTCACACAACAGCTTGGGTTATCATGACGTCCCACCAGGGCAAAAAATCTGTATCCTTTAAATCCTCCTGGCAACAGCTCTAGTTGCCGTTGGTACTGATTCTGCAATAAAGTTTATTTAAGTCTTCAACAGTGCATGACATTGTTATATATAGAAAATTATATCGGTGTGACATTCACCTTGATTACCACAACAACTATATTTTGTGCTCAGTAACCGCCTGGAGTAGGGGTTGTAAAATGGAAACACTGAAAGCAGTTTTAAGATTTACAACTGGGTGCCAGCTTTGAGACGGTTATAGACATAATCTGAGGAAAAAATAACGCCAACTTCATATACTTACACTGTAATCCCTGAGTGCTACGGCGGGCGTTTCTTCACACTTGTATCTACCAGCGTCTGTAGCTTAATCAACATAAACAATCAGTCAGACATTACTAATTCCACACACACACACACACACACACACACACACAGACACAGACACAGACGATCGTCAAAGGGACATGGACTACACGTGACGCAACCCCAACTGGGACATGGTATATAGACAAAATAGCTACCTGATTCAATGTTCAAATAGCGATACGAAATTACAGTGAATACTTGTGTATATGTGCCCTAACCAATAACAGAAAACAACTTCATTTGCGCCCCTGTGTGGTAGAGGGCACAGGTTCCAATACATATTGTATGTTTGCCACACACCACTTCGACCCTTATTTCACCTAAATGGCCCAATTATATCAGTAGGTTGCTCACGCCAAGCTTTGACATTTCTTCATGAAATCATGTCAAAATGATAAACTTTTTCGTCATTACTATTTAAATTTTTGTTTCACATCACATCATTTATTAGGGATACAAAAGTGCAGTTGGTATGTTGCAAATGTAAAGCCACCATTTCGGCAATTTGAGCGGGGAACATAAGAAATGTACCTCAATCGTCAGCGGGATGCATTGAAAATAATAGAATCAGTCTCAGCCAATCAGAATCAGACATTCATGTGTTAAGTAAGATCTGATAAATTCGGTTATTGACGTAGTATATGTAAACAAGTATACTGGGACAGTTGTGTTCTGAAACATGGTAGACAATAGCTGCAAATATTTGTTGAAATTTTGACCAAACTATTGTGAACCATTGTTCTAATATATGCTAATTGTTTACATTCTTTTTAGCAACTTTTAGTAATTCCAGCGAGGCAACACAAACAACTTCAAATAGTATACCATATATGTAGCGTAACTGTTGGTGAGTTGGCCTTGTGGAGAATGCAATCACTTGCCAATGCAGAGGTAAAAACTGGCTGACCAGCACATGTAGATGTGTACGTGCTTGTTGACCCGACCAGGTCATACCAAAAAGACGTTACCCTGCCTGGGGCTCGGCATTAAGAGGACTGGTAAGCTCCAAATCAGTATGCTGTGTCTGAGCGGGGTATTCATGTTACACTGTGGCATCGTATCTTAGTGGGCTAGCACTATAAAATCGGCATTGGTCCGGACTAGTACAAGCAGCAACACACACACACACACATAGATAAAATACAAAAGTCCAAAGAGGAGCTGTATAATTATATATGTTTATACATGCATGCACCTCGCTATATTAAGTTCCATAATCTTGGACGCGACGCGACGTTAAACCCCATTTCATCCGACCTCAGCTCCTTGTTGAGACTAACCACGGACCTATATATACAAGTCTGTGGACTAACGTACTACGAGACAGTCATAACGCAAACTGAAATTGAATCATTACTGCTTCCTATCGTGTCTTACTGAGTATATCATGTGTAAAAATACCTTATTGCATATTGAGCTTTGTCAAATGTCGTCTTATCAGCGACCATGCACCGATATTTGCACAATATGTTACCGTTGTTGCTTGGTAAAAGCAATACTACCAAAAGGAGCCCAATAAATCTATGCTTCAAAACTCGCGTATAGCTGAAGTTTCCTTCCGCTAAGTTTTATGACTGTAAGAGGGTCAAATGTGTGTCTGTTTAGTGGTTTATTTATGACATTAAGTAATGTTTACGCACTACTATTTACCCAAGGATTTTGGTAAACGAACGTTAAAAAACAAATAAATTTCATGAAAGACAATTGAAATAACAACCGAGGAAGAGAGCTTGAATCAACTTTGGATTCAAAATTCATATTTTATTAAGTCAGTATGATTTTACGCCCCTTTTTATGGTTCGAAATTAACGCTCGCCCGTTAGCCCGTGGCTAGAGTATTTCCTACAGGGCTAAGAACATCCGCAGAACGCTAGCCCGGGTGGCTAACTAACCTAAAGCAGTGTTGGCTGAAGAGCGCGTTTTTGCGTCTTGGACGAACAAAAATAAGTTTGAACGCACCTGCGTACATGTGTGGGTCTCGTGGACGCAGTGACTGGGGCTATATTAATTTCATATCGAATTGACACTGTTATCGTAAATCAAAGACGTACGTCTTTGCGTAAATGTATTTGTTGCCAAACAAGACGGCCAAACAAGACAGCGAAGCATGTTGATTAAAACTTCCGTTTGCTAAACCAAACCAGTTTCGTTATTCTCTCCCTTTTTATGACAAATACCCAAACCGGTTTCTTGACCTATATCTATTGTCGGTTTTGCATGTATTAATTTTCGGTATGGTCCGTAGCTTTGCTTCAGCCAATCAGGTGCCACATATTAAGCAAGTCGGATATAGTCGTAATTAATTTAGCTTGCTGATTGGTCGAAAATATCCTGACCTTGTGTCAAACTAAAAATAGCCAGGCACATCAAGGGTATACTTCAGAACGTGGTAACCTGGTAACAGCAACCCGCGAAATCGAGCGACCGTGTACGATGATACGCTATGTTATCGCGGTAGTTAATTTATAATGGATCGTAGTGAGGCACGCATACAAACTTATTAAATATGTGATTCACAAAATGTTTGTTGTTCATTGGATTGATTGATGCTGATTTTCTTTACCGAGTTCGGTAAACAAAGTACCTGTCATTGGTGAATCTTACCGCAGTAAGTAAGGCTGTGTGGATTATATGGTATATCACTTCCTGTTTTGAATTTTGCATACGACCGAGGTTTGGTCAAGGGACTTCGTTTGAACAAATGGGTTCTTTTTCTAATCAATTTTGAATGGAGGAAGGGGTAATTCCACTTCAAAAACATCTCAGGAACTGTCATAAAAAAAAGTTAACGTGTGTACAAGTAGCCGTGACATACCGCAACGAGTCCTGTATTCGATCATGCGATGAAATATATCGTGCTTAGATTTGCATAAGTAAACAGTCGACAGGTTGTGTGGATTACGAGATTTATCAATACCGCGATACTGTATATGATGTGTACAATGTGACGAATGTACAATGATGTAAGCATTGTTTTTATTTAGCGGACTCTGAATATTTAGTTATTCTACAACAGACTTATCAAGCTGATAATAATTCAATATCTTGTGAGTCATATTAAGAATTGCAAAACACATTTTTGTTTGGGACCCCTAATTTTATGATGAAGGGGTCCAAGTGACCCCAAGAAAATTTAAGCCAGAGCAGACACTATATTGCTTTCATATTAAATGGCAAACCATTTCAGTTACATATTAAATCAAAATCAAGTCATTTTATTAGTGAAACCGCAGCGGCGTAATCCCGGAAGTTTGTAGTAAACACGCATTCGGAATCTACTCCAGCGAACTTCCATTTATAGCCTTATTGGTAGGTCACAGTATTTTTTTAGTTTCAATTTTTTTTATAAAGAAATTGTACATTTACAAACCCTCAAGTTTAATGAAATAATAATGATTTAATAAAAATTTGGTAGAAATATAGAATAGTCAAGGCATGCTTGGTTACTAACCCCACTTTTGGTTTACGCATTTAAAACCCAGAAACATTGGCCTGGAGAAAATAATCATGCATGATCATGATGACGACTTTGGTCTTTCCAGGTATTGCAACTGATGGTGCCTCCGTGATGGTTGGAAAGAAGGCAGGTGTCGTGAAGAGGCTAAAGGACCAGACTAATCGAGCATTCATCCAAGGTATCCACTGTTCAGCCCACCGGCTTGAGTTGTCATTTAAAGATGCAACAACGGACCTGTCGCTTTGGACCAAGGCTTCCAATCTCCTACTGAGTGTTTATCTCTTTTATCGCAACAGTCCCCTGAACAGGAGCAACCTATTGCAGGCTTTTGCCATGGAAGGTACTCCTCTTTCACTCTTATTTCCATTATTATTGAAATTTGCAACCATTTTATATTTTTATATTATTAAATGAATCGATTAATTGAACATGGCATTTTTATGATATGGCTTGCAATTCATTTGCAGATGTGGAAGTGCTCATACCATCCAGTGTTGGTGGCACCAGATGGGTCAGCCATATCAAGAGAACGTTACGAAACCTCATGACATCCTATGGACCAATAATTCAGCATCTCCAGCAAGTAAGATGTTTTAAAAGCTTTCCCTAAATTTTGTTGTCCTCCACACATTGCTTTGCTTCCAAGTCTAAGAATTAAAAATGAACACGCAGTAACTTGTTTTGTAATATTTAGGCTTTATTTTAATAGTTTTCTGTCAGTCTGCATTGTTCTGCTTTTCTTCATAATCTAGGTCTGAAAATTTAAACAATTTATCAAACATTTGCATAGGGATGATCATGTTTGAATTTGATATTTGTAGATCCAAAACCCTTGCGACCCAGCACACAACAAGGAGTCTGCTAGGAAAGCAGTGAGTTTCTTAAAACATCTACAGGACAAGTCCATGGTTGCTTTCCTGCTCTTCATGTGGGACATTGTCTGCTGCCTGTCTGCCGTCTCTGAGGCTTTTCAGAGAAAAGAGGCAACTTTGAGAGATGTGTATGTCGAAATCCAGCTGGCTAAGAACACCCTGACAAACTTCTATGAGATGTAAGTTTCTTTCTGTTACTGTTAGTCAGTGACATTTGTGCTAATTAAATTTATCATAGGATGAAGTCTGTTGATTAATGTAGGTACACTATGTTGAAATTGAGCAACAGTTTCTGTATTATTATTTTTTCCAGGGATGGTCCAAAATTAAAACGTTTAACAGCAACTGATGACAATTCTGAGTCTGACAGTCTGGAGCTATATGAAGGGCATCATTTGTAAGGAAACCTAGTATCCTTCAAGGCTGGAAGAGTCAAAGTACTGGACAGACTGGTCAGCAGTAGGACAGACAGATTTGAAATAGATGCTGGTGTTGCAGAGGCATGCTGCATCACAAATCTGAACCTATGGCCCCTAACTTTGCAAGCAGGGAAACTTAAATGTTAATAGTTAATATCTGTGAAATAGTTATTTGTCAAATTGAGGTATTTGCGTCAATTGTGTTCTGTAAATAAGTGGTGCAAATGTATATTTAGTGTGATCAGAATTACTGGTGTTCATCTGAATACTAAGTAAACCCTTGATAATTTTCTGATATAAGTTTTTAGTTGTTTATGTTCATGTTGATTCAACAGACTTTGGTGATGTTCATTTGGCCAGCTTAGTGAAAACATTTAAGCAAGGATTGGAGAAAGCTGGATTTGACCCATGGCAAGTAGAACCAGAATGGACAAGACTTAAGGAGTAGTGTATAGGTAAATTCAATTTCATTTAATTTTTTTAATTATGATATATGTTTAATTTAAGATTATCTGACTGCCCATTGACCTTTTCATTTTATTTACATTATTTCATGAAAATAATATTCAAAACAATGTTTTTGTTCTTTGCACAGACTTTATCCAGAGCCATCAAAAGCTTCATGGAAGGACCTGAACAGTCAGCTGAAGGAACAAGGTTATGAAAATGTCCTTGGACTTGTTGATTTGATCTTTACCCTGCCTGCCAGCTCTGTTGAGACAGAGCGGGGCTTCTCAGCAATGGGGCGGGTCAAGACAGACTGGCGGAGCAATCTGAAAGACAGTCACCTGTCAGACCTCCTTATGGTCTTGATCGAAACCCCAGAGGTCATGTCATTTCATCCTACTCCATCTGTCCACCTATGGAATTCTAGATCTGTAAGGCCAAGGAGACCTGATTTTATGGAATCAGGAACACTATCTTTCAAGTATTCAAATCACCTCTGTCAAGAAAACCTTCTCAGACTTGAGGAGAGGGCTCACAATCTGTTGTCTGCTGCTCTAGTCATTGCAAAGGATGTTGCTCAGTCTGATAACTCTCCATCTCACTGTGAAGAGTGTTGTTAAACTAATGAATTGAAAGAATTTGCGAGAAATACTCAGTGAATCAGTGCTGTTGTTATTTGATGTTTCAGTGGCATTAATTTTAGAAGTTGAATGTGGTTGTGATGAGAACAAAGATGTTTACTGTTCATCTTATATTGTTTGTACGAGTTCAGTACCTGTCTCAAAAACCTCATGAACTCACAAGAAGTTGAACTTTATTAAACTTAATAGTTATGAAGACATGATTTTCAGACTTTGTTATCTGTTGTGTAGTCTGGGCTAACTGATCTTCTTCAGGGCTAGTAAAGTTCAGCTGCAGTTAGCCCTGTGGACTGGATCACCTTTTCAGTTAATTTCTAACCCTGGCCGGCTGAGTTTTAGCAATATTCAAGCAATACGGTGAGGGTCATCAATAATGGTCTTCACACATTGTACACATGCGGGGAATCGAAGTCGGGTCTTCGGCGTGACGAACGAAGCATTTAATCACTAGGCTACCCCACCGCCCCATGTTTTATATAGAAAATTAGAAATCGACCATTTTAGTTTCGTATGAGTTAAATAATGTGAGTAGACTGCAGTATTTGGTTCCCCACTTCGGAACGAACGTTTTTACGTGTTTACGGAAGTTGTCGAATGGAAAAACGTTCCACGCATGCGCAGTTCGTTATTTACGGTCGAAGCGCACTTCGCAACGAACGTTTTTACGTGTTTACGGAAGTTGTCGAATGAAAAATGTTCCTCGCATGCGCAGTTCGTTATTTACGGTCGAAGCGAGAGGATTTGTTGGCCGCCATTTTTCTACCGAACGCTGTCTGCAGTTCAGTATTTTCTTACACAGACAACACACGGGGGGTTTGTCCCCCCTTGTCGAAATATTAAAGTAAAAACAAACCTTTTTTCAAATAAATCGCACGACGGTAATTTCATTCTGTTTCTTGAACAATATATTTTGTTGGGCCAAAGACGTATCGTAGTAACGAGTCCATATAAGGAACGTCACATGATCAGACACGTGACGTCTTACGTCATTTATGTCCCGCCCATAGCAACACGAAGTCGACAATAGAGGGGTTTTAGTTGCCATGATGCAATGCGCGGTCGCCATGTTAGTTGTCGATAATTCGGCTTCACTTTCTATCGTAAAACCTCTCGGCCCCGACAGGGGCGGAATTTTAGACCATACTTTTCACGTCCAGCTCATTTTTGGGGTCCTTTTTGATAATAAATGCCCCCTTACGGATTCCGGCACGCTTGCGAGTGCGCGCTTACATACAAGCAAAGCTGCCGAAGGGCAGCGGTTTCCTTACGGAAACCCCCAAAGTGGGGACCCAAATACTGCAGTTCACCCAATAATGCAAAGTAGAAAACATAACTTCTTCATATTTGAGTTGCACAATCCTCATTAGGTTAAGGGGGCGGTGGGGTAACCTAGTGGTTATAGCGTTCGCTCGTCACGGCGAAGACCTGGGTTCGATGCCCCACATGGGTACAATGTGTGAAACCCATTTATGGTGTCCGCTGCCGTGATATTGCTGGAATATTGCTAAAAGCGGCGTAAGACCATACTCGCTCGGTCGCACAAGCTTAAGGGGTCTTACCAAGCTGGCAACACTTGCCATGCCAGCCACTTTGGCATTCACACTGCGCTGTCCGGAATTCTCCTCCGTTGTAACAGTTCCTGTTACAGCCTTGCTGCTCCATTGGACGTCTCTCTGGGCCACACCTGCGTTGACAGTCTTCCCTTGGTTCCCCAGGCTGACAGCAGAGGGCAATGTCCCTCTTCTGGTATCCTCCCCCACATGGCGCTGTGCACACATCCCATTCTCCTACTTTCCAGGTACAGTCAGAACAACCTTGTACATAGACGATGGTATACCAGAGCCAACACCACAGCCCAGCACGCAACATCATTGCGGCGCAATGACTGAGGAGTTTTGAGGATCAGCTTATACTTCCGGTGACAAACAACGTCTCGTGTCAATGGCGACAGCAGTGATGCGTCGGACAGGGCCCGGCTAATCATATTCGGAACACTCTGGTGTAGCTTTGAAAAACACGACATTGTCACAGGCATTAAAACACTCTAGTTATGTGGCACGAATAGCAAGTGCATGTTGGCTTGTCAAAGCAGTTGCAGTGTTGTCAAGACGTCCTATGATCGATGTCAAACTGGCCGCTACCCATTCATAAAAATTGAGGTAAGTTTTCACTCTTCTCACACTTCTGATAGGCTGGTGTAATTGTCAGTGTTGATAAGTCAATACTGATCGGATAATCATCACACGGAACAGTGATGATGGCGTTGAAATATGAGCATAAACAGTCGTGCTGTGACTCGTTTGATTGAATTTGTTGTTATATATTGTCAAAAAAGAAAGACGGTATTTGCAATTGCAATATGCTCCCAATTTATGCATCATACAATGTTATTGAAAATTTCCATTACATCTATCCTGAGCCTTTTTCCAATATTAAATTATCAGGATTCAGCTCTGACAAGGAACGTCACAGAATTATATTTATGAGTCCAGGGTAGATGATACAAACTATAGGCATAAGAAGGCCTATTATGTGCATGTTGGCAATGTAAATTGTTATGATTTTTTGTCAATACTTGTACTATATCAGAGTAATAATGTGTTTTTTCAAAGAGACTTATAGGGGTGTCTGTGTTAACAGAGACCATACATTTTTAAATAGATATGGTCTCTGGTGTTAATAAAAAAAAAATGTGCCAATATCATGATGATAATGTTATGTGCACTGAAAAATCAGGGTGTTTTTTTTCACAAACAAACTATTAATCTAATTCGTAAATAATGATGATTAAATCCTTGCAGTTATTGTATTTAAGATCTCTGAAAGGTGACCTCACTTTTAATACTTAAATGCATTCTGTATGATGTGAATAGACTTGATCATTACAACCCCATTTAGCATTTGTTTAGCATATTCAGTTGAAGATACAATGTACATGCTTAATTTATTTATTATATCTTGATGTAGGCATTGTAAGAAATTGTTGGTATTTTAGAAGTATATGTTATATGTTCTCATAAGAGTTATATTTCTTTTGCAGTTGGACCAGCTTTCCATGTTTGAGGGGAGAAAGCATCTCGGACTGTAACAGATCTTCAGATTTCTTTGAATATTTTGTGGTCAAGCAATACATTGCCTATGAAAGAACAACTCTTGTTGTGTATACAGTTGTAAACATATTAAAGTCTTATCTGAAGTACTGGTACTGTAAATGATTTCTGTGACCATCAGAATACACCATGTACACTGGACACTTGCTGGAATAGGACCTACTTGTCATCAACATGGTGTTGCAGAACATCTTGGGACTCTCATATAAAGTCCAGTGTGAATCTAGATACTGACACTAGTGACAGTGCATACTGTTGAAAATAGTCCAATTCACACTGGCACAGTAATTTGTTCAGACTTGGCTTTTGGGAATATTTGCCAAGAATGTTTAATATTTTGAGAGTAATCATGACCTGGTAAAAACAATTACTGAATAAATCTAAAGCTTATTTATTGTTTTTTTAAGTGTGGATAATGCCATACAAAAGAGAGTTGTTGTAATATTTATGGTATCAGCCATGATACTGAATTGATATTGAATACAATATCATAACAAAGCAATGTATGATAATAGTTTTTCAGTTTATGGGTCAAAATCTTCCTAGAAAATACATATGGTCCATATGAATACTGGAAAATGAGAATGTCAGTCACCCCATTTGTTAAGCTTGGCTTTATTGGCAGAATATTTGAAACACAAAAATAAATGAAAAACAGGTACAATTGTTTCTATCTCTGCCTCAAGTCAATGTTTTTGTACCAAATTGTGTTCATCAGTGTTCACTGAGTGATAAGTTGAATGGAGTAATGTTTTGGACTTCTGGCAATTCGCCGGTTTATTTTTGACTATTTGCATATCCACGAACGCTTGACTATTATTGCCTGAATTTCAAGTAATAATTGATTCTGAATTATGTGTACGTGCGTATGTATGTTATCTCGGAACTAACTTAAATCACTGTCGTACATGTACACATAATTCAGAACCACCAGGGGGTATTTAAAAGTATCAAAAATATTCTCTTGAGAGCCAGTCTTAAATCATACCAGGTGATTAACATAAAACATTCTAATGACAGATCCCGTTATAACCTGGGGTAGAATGCGTCCCCAGCACCTCATTGCTCATAGAGGCGTCTTAATTTGGATCAAATAAATATTAGCATGGTCATCATAAGAACACAGGCTCCGTTCTGCTGCTCTCCATCCTCGACGACACCTCGTCATGACAAACTCCTTTGCCTTGGTACCGGCGCCATCAACGTCTTTTCTCTCCACATCTGTTACATAATTGCTGAGTCAACTTCAAAAGAAATCATTGGACCAAGACGTTAAAACTGCCCCCACTGTGTTGCAAAACGAACATATTACTTCAACGTTTTACTTTACTTTTAGGCAGCAGAATTCCTGCACGTGTACACAACAAATCCAATTACAGTCGTGTGACTGGATTGTCTTGTCAAGACTCCATTGTGTACATGCTGCCGTCCCATGCTGCGTTGCTTCAGGCAAAAACCCAAACACTTATTTGTTTCTGCAAATAGTACAGTGTAAGTGGCAGGATCTATCAGCAGGGCAAGGCATGCTGGCTCTTTTCGCGAACACCTGGTGTCATCACCAGTTTTCAGTGATACATTTATATAAACTACAGTACTCAAAACAAAGTTAAGGGTCAAACGTATATCCCTGCGCGATCGTTAATTTGACATAGAAAAGACAGGAATTAGACATTTCTAATCGCAAATCCGATTGAATGTGTCCTAAAGCTTACCATTGTGGCAAATCATATGCACTATGCAACCACAACGTCTGTGAGAATCTTTTGAAAAATCACCAATTCAAGCTGAGAAACAAGGGTCATCGAAACTGTTTTCATCGCCCCAACGCAGTGTTCCCCGATCATCGTGCGTTTGTTTTGTCAATGCATCTGCAATCTGTGTTCCCCGTGAACAGTTGGGACATACAAATAGCAGAGTTTGCGTCTACCGACGGCCTGGACACAGATTTGCTGACGTCAGCGTCAGGCTGCGTCATCGATTTGATGGTGATACAGTGATGGTGTGGGGTTGAATTTCTATGTACCACAGGCCTCCTTTGTACGCCGTCCAAGGAAATTTGACCGGTTTCAGATACAGAGACGATATTTTACACCCTTTTCTTGTTCCCACTCTTCACCAAATTGGAGCTGGTTCGATTCATCATGATAACAATGCAAGACCCCATCGTGCCAGGCTAGTAAATAATTTTCTCAACCAAAATTGTATTTTGTACACCAATGACTGTATTAATCTTAACTGTTTTTGTGTTAAATTTGCATACGACGCTGCACTTTTCAGAAATAAAGAACAAAAATGAAATCTCTCTTAAGGACATAGGCAGTATCTATGTGCAGCAAGTAGAAGCAGCAAATAGAATATTAAGCGATATCTCGCATGTTCTACTTTCGAAGTATCGACTTCTTCCTTCTGGCCACCGAGAACAGGACCGGGAATTCATATACACCATCTAGTACCAAGTTCTGAAATGCGTTTTATGATAAATATAAATTGTTGAGCATTTAATATCTAGTGCCTCATTTACGTTTGTGGTGTTCTTATTTATTTGTATATGTGTTTATCAACACGCTAAGACTTTGTGCTGATAAGCCAAATTTCTTTTGGGATAATAACGTGTTATCTTTTCGTATCTTCTGTTCTACCCTTTGTTTAAATGCAGTGACGTAATGTCACGTTGCAGCAGGATAATGCCCGCCAACACGTTGCACGTGTTGTAACAGAGGCAGCATGACATTGATGTACTGCCATGGGCGGCTGTTTCTCCAGACCTCTCCCACATACAACACGTCAGGGATGAGATTGAATGATGCCAGGACTAAAACCAGCCGGTAACGCCAGCTCCATGGACCTATCTTTGGTTGACATTTGGAATAGCATCCCCCATGCTGTTTTCAGTCATCTGATGTCTCAATCCACCGCCGCTGTATCAACACAGATGGTGGTGAAACCCGATACTGACAATGTGAATTGAGCTGTTACACCACCACTCCTTTAGAGCGTGATGCTCTATCTCCTATGACCGTTTTGGGGTTTTGTCAATGAATTTGTGTCGATAAAACAGCGTACAGACGAATGACCAAATGTTTTGTTGTTATTTTCAATAACATAACATTTACACCTCTTAATATGAGGCACAGTTACGTTTTACCGCCCGCTAGTATATTTATTTATTACTTGCCCGTGAAGAGATCACCCGTTTAATAAACATACAGCTGTATTACACATTGTGTAATACCAAAACGCGTGCTTATTCTTCCCCGCCCTTAAGGCGGGGAAGTGTACGGGAAACGTTCATTTTGAAGTATGTATGTCGACATGTTGGTTTATTTGAAATTTCAAGCCACGCATTTACGGAAACAAAACATACAAATCATGTGCGTGGAATGTTGATGCTATTCTTTTCCAGCAATAAGAGATACTTCAAAATCGTCTTTATGTAGTTAATTGATGCATCTGGCCGTTTCTGGTCATTAGCTGACATTATTAAACCATTCATGTGTAATCCGATGTCCTTTCTTCCTCAAGGACTAATTTTCTGATTTTCATGGTGTATACAAAAGAAGAACTGTGCTCCGGAGATCGTAAATAACAGCATAATAAAAATTATGTTCTGAATATGCTTATTCATGAACAACGACGACATCTCAATTTAAATGTAATATGGCTGAATTCCACATTCTACATACCACACTTTTGATTGTTTGGATGCTCATGTTCCCTGGAAATATTTGGAATAGTTACTATTCCGTATTTTGAATTAACCCAGTCCCCCGTGGTTTTTTTAATCAGTGCA